TGGGGTAAGAATTAAATAGGTCCATATTTGGTTTGCTTTGTAGTAAGCTAAATTCATACATTATATCCAGAAATTGTCTTTTAAATTCTAGTTTCTTTATTCTTGTTTTAACTTTCTTTTGCTTCTATCACATTATTAGGGTGTGCTTGCTTGTTTACTACACTCTAATTGATAATTACAGTAGTGCATTACTTATATTCTTGTGCTATTATCCATCTCGTTTTGAGTCTTCTTTTTAAAATTTGTGCTTGCTTTTCTTGTTAAGATTTATTCCTTGTTTCTAAACGTGCTTTTGAGTTGAATTGGTTGGCCTAAGATTCTGAAGTTCAATTGGAGGAATTGCAATGAGTGAGAATTGCAAGGAGTGGGAATTAAAAGAGTGTAAACACGTGAGGGAATGAATTACCAAATAACCCAAATCTTTTGTGTTTTCTCTTTGAATACTAACGCATGAGTTTCAGGCAAGTTTTGAAAGATAATAATGAAGGATGAAATCAAATAGATGGATTCCCCTAATTAAAACTTGTATATGGAATCATCCAAGAAACAGTTTAGAAGCCTCAACAGTTTCGTCCGATATGAAGAAAGAATCGAAGGAGATTAAACCGCCCAACGCTTTAATACAACAAAAGCTCATCCAAGTACTACACAACCTAGATTTCAAACCAACTAAAGATGAGGAGAATAATAATCCTTAATCCATTACTTTAGGAATTTGAACAATAATCAAGGAAGGGTTGCAAGGAAGGAAAAATGTGGTTATCCTCATATATTCCTTCACAAAGGATGGATGGATGACTAGTCCAAATTCATCTTTCTCAAAGGAAGTGTATGAAGACCAATGTGAAAAGAAAAAGATGAGTTTTGAAACTATCAATAAGGAAAAGGAGTGTAAAAATAAAATGAGTGAGAACATACTAAGTGAAAATAAAAAGAAAGAGAGAGAAGAAAAGGAAAAACAAATTCAACCTATATCTGTACCTTTGTGCAAAGAAATTTGTTTAACCATCAATGATCCTAAACCATCTTTGCCAAATGTGTTTGTTGATCCTTTGCAAGAATTTGAGGTATGTGATGACCAAGGGAAGCTACCGGAGATAGTGACCTCAACCTTGAAAGAAAATAAGAGTGAGACTTCGACTTCAAGTTCAAAAGAACTAGAAAAGAGTGAAGAAAAGGAGGAGGAAGAAGCCACAGGGCAAACAAAACAAATTAATAGCCCATTAGAGAGTGAATTGTCAAAGGAACAAAAGAGAGAAAAGAGGAGTAGAAAAGAGTAAGGAAGTGAAGGAAAGGAGCCCACAAAATAACAAAAACAAATTAATGGCCCAATTGGTGAGTGAAAAAGAGAAACAAATTTGTGTATGTGAAAAAGAGATGAGATCCAAAACAATGAGAGAAGAGGTAGGCCAGTCTTGATGATTCGGGTTTAAAGGAGTTTTTTGCATAGTTTTGACTAACAATAACACTTTTTCTCTACCCTTCAGTTCTGTTTCTTTGTTGGCAGTGGATTTCTCCTCAAGTGGCAGGGATTCCCTAATGGTAAGAAGAAGCCTACATTGGTGAAGGAGATGCACGCTAAGGCTAGGGTTCATATGAACATGAAGAACAAAGGCTATGCCAAACGTGCCAACAAGAGAAGAAGGCATGATGTGTTTAAACCTGGAGATTGGGTTTGGGTACATTTTCGCAAGGAAAAGTTTTCCAACCGAGGAAAGATTAAGCTTGATGAATGTGGAGATGGACCATTCCAAGTCGTGGAGCACATTGATGACAACACCTACAAGATAGGCTTACCAGGTGAGTATGATGTTTCCATTACTTTCAATGTTAGTGATTTGTCTCCTTTTGACATGGCATTAAGGCAAATTCAAGGATGAACCTTTTCGAGGAAAAAGGGGAATGATACGTAAATCCCGCCCATCACTCATCCATGGAACTCAAGGGGCAGAGGAGAACAACATGAAAAAATCCATTTAATGCTTCTAAGTGGATCACTATCAAGAAGTCATGCAAAGAAATATGGATCAACCAATGGAGAATCAAGGGAGCATGATGCCTCAACTTCTAACTAAGATTTCGAGGACGAAATCATTTTTCGAGGAAAGGGTATGGAATAACGAAATGAGACCGACTCACCAATAAAGCTCAAGGAAGCAATCGGAGGGCATTCTAAGTTTCTCACATTAATAGAAGCACATGTTGAGTTAGAGCCTGAAATTCCAACACATGACATGCCTAGACCATGCTTGGTTAGCACGCCTGTGCAAGGTGGCATGCCTTAGACCGTGCAAACTTCTGCCTTTTAAGGAACATCACTTGATTTGAAGCACGCCCGTGCCAACTAGCACGCCCCAGACCGTGCAAGCTTCTGACTCTCGCGAGAACAACACTTGACTTCAGGCACGCCCGTGCCAACTAGCACGCCCCAGACCGTGCAAGCCTCTGCCTCTCGCGAAGGAAGACTTACCATTGAGGCACGCCCGTGCAGATTGGCACGCCCCAGACCGTGCACGCCTCTGCCTCTCATTAAGTTAGTTAGCTTATTTTGAGTTTTTTGCTTTGTTAATGGGTTGGGCCTCTAATATTCTAATATTTCGCACCGCTTGATTCAGTTAGCCTTATTTTGTTTTAGATTTAGTCAATTCTTTTATGGAATTAGGACTAGATATCCAAATCTTAAGTTATTATGATTTTTGTTAATCAACTCCTTTAATTGGTTTAGATTTGCTAATCCTACTTCCTTAGCTACTCTAAATATCCTCTAAGGATCTGGACCTCTTAGATTAGTATGAAATAGCTTGTTATTTTGTATTATTCAGAACATTATTCAATCAATTAAAGAGAGATTTTTTTCTTCTTTCCATGCCTTTGGCTGTTCAATGTTTTTTAGAGGGTTGTTGAGATTGCATTTCTTCTAATTACATCAAGAATCAAGGTAAACTTATCAATTCTTTGTGGCGTTTATCTTATTCTTTTACTCTATTATTGGTTTTCTTGCTTCTTTAAGCTTTGGGTGCAATAGAGGGGAGTTTATTCTAGATCTTTGATCTCTTCCAAAACTTGTCATAGAGTTCATGGAATTTATTTCCATTGGGTTCCCCGTCATTGACTAACAAATCTTAACAACTTAAGGATTTGGATATCTAATCCAAATCAACTAAAGATTGACCAAATCTAAACAAAATAAGGATAAAACAATCAAGGATGGCCGAATTATAGGAGGCCCAACCCATTAACATTGCAAAAACTCAAAATAAGCTAACTAGTTTAATGAGAGGCAGAGGCGTGCATGGTCTGGGGCGTGCCAGTTGGCACGGGTGTGCTTCAGATCAAGTGTTATTCTCGCGAGAGTCAGAAGCGTGCACGGTCTGGGGCGTGCTAGTTGGCATGGGCGTGCTTCAAATCAAGTGTTGTTCTCGCGAGAGTCAGAAGCTTGCACGGTCTGGGGTCTGACTTGCGAAAGGAAAACAATCACATGAAAGCACGCACGTGCGATTGGCACACCCAGGTCGTGCTAGAGTTTGTCTCTAGCGAGATTAGTTAGTCCAATTATGTTTTTTTTTAGTTGTAACAATGTTAATGGGTTGGGCCTCCTATTATTCGGCCACCCTTGGATTTTATCCTTAATTTGTTTAGATTTAGCTAATCTTTATCCTTAGTTGGTTTGGATTAGTTAATCCTTATCCTTAAATTTAGTTTTAATCCATTATCCTTAAGTTTTGTTAAAGATTTGTTAGTCTTATCCTCTAGCTGGTTTAGATTAGTTTAAATGCCTTATCCTCTAGTTGAATTTAAGTTGTTAAGATTTGTTAGTCTTATCCTTAGCTGGTTTAGATTAGTTAAATCCTTATCCTTAGTTGATTTAGATTAATTATTCTAAATCCTCTAAGGATCAAGTCCTTTTAGATTTAGTATAAATAGCTTCGTTATGTTGTTAAACAAATCATTCAATGAATCAATAAACCTACAGCTTTATTCATGCTTTGGCGTGTTTTTTTATTAGAGTGATTGTGAGATTGTTTTCCTCTAATTGCATCAAGAATCAAGGTAAACTTATCAATTTACTTGCGGCGTTTATCTTATTCTTTTACTCTATTATTGGTGTTCTTGTTTCCTTAGGCTTTGGGTGCCATAAAGGGGAATTTAGTTTGATCTTTGAAGCTATTCCAAATCTTGTCATAGAATTCTTGAAATTAATTTCTATAGGGTTCCACGTCAGTTACATTTATTTTAAATCTTAAATAATCGATCACCAATCATATATGAATAAGATGAGGCCAATTTATTATTATTATAATATTTTATTAAAAATAGTTCGTTTTCAATATGAAATTACAAATAAAAATTTCTCAAAATAGCAATATAATTCAATAATAAAATGCAAACAATTTAAGCGTGTTGAGAAGTAGGCATGGCCAATTCATTGAACTGTCGATTCCGGTTCATGGGACCGTTGGTTTAGGATTTTTAAAATATTAAATTTGAACCGTTTAAACCATCGGTTCTGGTCCGATTTTGGTTCCGTTCGGAAGATGGGGTTACGATCACGGTTTATTAATTAAATAAATTATCATTTTATTTTGTATAAATATTATTAATTAAATAAATTATTAGAAAGTTTTTAAAAATACTTGAAACAATGTAATTTTGAACTAAGTAAAATATTTAAAAGGAAAAAAAATAATTAAACTCTCATTTATATTAAATAATATAATTATATACTAAATTTTATAAAATATGCTAAGTAATTATAATTTTAAAAGTAATAAAATTGAAATTTTTGGTTCAAAAGGGGATCAAATCGCCGATTAATTGTTGATTCAAGGTCAGTTCAAGTTCAAAGTTTAACATTCATATAAACTTTAATTGGCTCTTAAATCACCGATTTCGATTCAAAATTTTGAATCCACAATTTCAATTTGATTTCGATTCGTATAGAGTAGGATTCGATTTCGGTTCAAACTGAACCGGAGGCGATGCGAAATGAGAAGTGGGTGGCCGACAACTTATTCATTATAATAAAACAGCGGTGGGTACTTTTGTTCTCTTCTTCTTCGTCTTCGTAAAAACAGCAAATATCAGTTTGGGGTTAGAGGTGAACGAACGCCATGGCCAATCAATTGGATGGATTTAAGTTTGAGCAGAGACACGGCAAGGATAGAGTGAGAGTGACCAGAGTTTGGAGAAGCTACGCTGATGGCAATCACTACATGGTTGAGTGGAACGTTTCCATTAGCCTCCTATCCGATTGCCTCAACGCCTATGACCGCGACGACAACTCCGATATTGTTGCCACCGATACCATGAAGAACACTGTAGGTTTCAGATTACGGTTTTTGTCAATTTCAATTTTTTAAATTAATATCTCTGGTTTTGTTTTAGGATCCCTAGTTGATTATTGTTGGAATAATTTCTCTAATTTGTTTTGGCTTTTCCATTCATTTTTGCTGTTTCAGAGACTTAGTTCTTTTAGCAAATATTTGGTTATGAGCCTTACCTGTACTGATAATGTTTTTGGAGTTAATCTATCTTCCCTCGACCAAATCTTATGCTCTTTCTTAACAGTCTAAATGACATCTTTAGCATCTGTCTCTAATTTCATTTGACACGATTTATGATGCGAATTGGGTGGAAATTTTTCTTTTATGCTTAAATCATGCATAACATGCTTGTATTATTTGATGTATTCTCATGATGAAAACCAGAACCAAACTCGATCCATTGATATTAAGTTCATAACTCAGTAGGCGGGCTTAGTTAGCCACTAGTGACTAGTTTAATGAGGTTGTAACGCAGGATATTAGGATGTGAGAGTTGAATGCACGATTTCTGTGTAGTATTAAGCTTATCAAGCGTAATTTGTGTCCCAAAAAGGCCTAATTACTAATAAATGCTTCAAATTTATCTCTTTTGTAACTAACTTTTAATTTTTTGACATTTTCATACAAGTCTTAAATTTAATCTAATTTCAGTCGAAATTAAGCCTGGGTTGACTCATGGCAGGTCTGTATTTGTTTCTTTTGTTATACACAATGTGAAAAAGTAATATAATAAAATTTTCGTGTCAGCAGTGTAAAATTCAGTCTTAATAACATAAGTTAAAAAAAAAAAAAATAAATTTAGGATTGCAACGCCAGTCAATTCAGGTCTAATTTTGCGCGAATTTGCATCTGTTGTGCAATTCCAAGAACTTCAATGGTGCTTATATAAAATTTACAAAATTAGAAGTTTGTGATGGAAAATAAATAAATGTTAAAGTTGAAGGCTTGTTTTTTTTTTTTTTTTTTTTTTTTTTTTTTTTTTTTTTTTTTTTTTTTTTTTCTGTAATTACTCCAGCCAGATAAAATAAATAAATAAATAAATAAATGTGAAGATGGGGATGTCAATACCTCTTTACTTTGCTCAACAAGCATGGATAGGCATGAAATATTATGAAGATTGACAGAGAAAAATGTACTTGAAGTCATTGTTTATTTCTTTTTTTGAGAGATTGAGGCAAATCTTTGCTTCTAGAGGTAAAGTGCACCATCAAAATTCTCATTGTTCTATAATTTGGTTCTTCTCCTTTTTGAATGCTTGTACATCTGTTTATGACACTTTTGAAATTTAATTGCAATTCAGGTATATGTCAAAGCAAAAGAATGTTCAGAACCGCACTCAGCAGAGAATTTTGCAATTTTGCTGGCTAAGCACTTCACTTCATTTTACAAGCAGGTAAACAGTGCAGAAATTTAAATTGTTTAATATATTTTTGGGATTTTTTGACACGGAACCGGGATCGGAAATCAAAGGAATGAGATATAAGTTCGCCTCTATGGCACCCCACGTTTATAAGGAAACGGAAACACCAATAATCGCCAATAATCGAGATTTAAAAAAATGCTCTATGGACCCACGTTTATGAATGAAACGGTAACACTAATAATCGGCAAAGAAACATAGATAAACGCCACAACGAGTTGATAAGTTTACTTTACCTTAATTCTTGATGCAATTAGAGAATAGCAAATTCTCACAATCACTCTATTTATACAAAAACGGAAACACCAATAATCGAGTAAAGAACAAGATAAACGCCACAATGAGTTGATAAGTTTACCTTAATTTTTGATGCAATTAGAGGATAGAAAATTCTCACAATCACTCTAATTAAGAAGAACATGCAAGAGCATGAACAATTTTGCCTTAGATTCAAATTATACCCAAAAATCCCGTTTTACATCTTAAGGAGGAAATATATAAGCCTCAAACAAACATAACCCTAAAGAAGAGCATCTAACTAGGCTGCCCTAGGGCCAAAACACATGGGCTTAACTCTAAAACACAAAATAAAAGTCATTTCCAGCACCAAAACGAAACAACTTGATATTGGGCAGATTGCATGCGATCATAAAACAAACCCAAAACAACCTTAAATAAACACCCAAAACACGATGGGCGTTAACTCTGAAAAACACAAATAAATCATTTCCAAGCCCAAAACTAATGGATCAAGAACCATCTTTTTATCCTCAATTGAAGATTGGCAATCCTCTTCTGGAAACACATCTTCAAATTCTTGCAAAGGATCAACAAACACACTTTGCAAAGATGGGTTAGGATCATTGATGGTCAAACAAACTTCTTTGCACAAAGGTACAATTATAGGTTGCATTTGTCTTTCCTTTTCTTCTCCCTCTTTCTTTTTATTTTTACTTTGTATATTTTCACTCATTTTATTTTTACACTCTTTTTCTTTATTGACAGTCTCAAAACTCATCTTTTGATTTCCATATTGGTCTTCACACGCCTCTTTTGAGGAACATGATCTTGGGCCAGTCATCCATCCATCCTTTGTGAATGAATACCTATTGAGATAATCCACATTTTTCCTTCCTTGCACCCTCCTGACTTATTGTTCAAATTCCTAAAGTAATGGTTAGGATTATCGACCTCCTCATCTTCAAGCGTTTGAATTCTAGTTGGTGCAGTACTTGGACGAGCTCTTGTTGTATTAGAGCGTTGGGTGGCTTTTATCTCCTTTAATTCCTTTCTCATATCTTGGAAGAAACTGTTAAAGCTTCTAAACTGTTCTTGGATTGATTCCATTACAAGTTTTAATTGGGAATCATCTATTTGATCCTCTATTTGCCTTCCATCCCCACTATTATCTCTAGATGTGCTTGCACTCATGGTTAGTGTTCAAAATAGAAAACACGAAAACATTTGAGTTAGTGATAAAGCACTCCCTCACGTGTTTACACTCTTTAATCACTCCTTGCATTGTAAGGCCAACCAATCAACCTCAAAGCACGTTTAGAACACAAGGAAAATAAACCTTAACAAAAGAAATGTAAGCACAATTCTAGAATGAAAACTCAAACGAAATGAATGGTAGGTAGTACAAGACAGATGATGTACTACTTTGATTATATTAATTTAGAGTTGTTAGTGAAACAAACAAATACAACGTCTATAATGTAACTATAGGCAAAAGAAAGCTCCAAAGATAGCACACAAACAAGAAATAGAAACTAGAATTTAAAAGACAATTTCTGGATATAATGTATGAATTTAGTTCACTACAAAGCAAATCAAATATGGACCTAATTAATTCTACCCAATCAAAGAAAGCAAACAAAGAAAATCCAAAAAAAAAAAAAATTTTTTTTTTAAGGTACTGTAGCACGGATGCTTCTGAATTCCTGTAGCAAGTTACTGTAGCAGCGTGCATGACTTATATCCTTACTTAACCCACAAATGTGATCCAATTTAGGTAGGGTAAAGCCTTAACAAGGTATAAGTGGATGGTTTGTGTCTCCCAATTTCAATTTAGGTAAGTAATGACTTATTATTTAGGTTGTCCAACAATGACTTTTGTCTCCCAATTCAACTTAGGTAGGTAATGACCTTAACAACAATTTGACTTATCTCTCTTTAACTTTTTTTTTTTTTTTTTATATCTAATTAGTAAATCTAAGGGCTGCAATGTCCCAGAATTTAATATAAGTTCGCCTCTATGGGCACCCACGTTTATAAGAAACGGAAAAACACAATATCGAGATTTACAAATGCTCTATGGCACCCCACGTTATAATGAACGGTTAACACAATAATCGAAGGCAAAGAACAAAGATAAACGCCCACAACGAGTTGATAAGATTACCTTAATCTTGATGCAATAGAGATAGCGAATTCTCCCAATCGCACATGCTAATTAGAAGAACATGCAAGGAGCATGAACAATTCTGCCCCTTGGATTTCAAAATTATGCCCAACAAGAAAATCTCGTTTTACATCTTAACGGAGGGCCTATTTATATGCCTTAAACAAATATAACCCTAAAGAAAGAGCATCTAACTAGGCTGCCGCTAGGCCAAAAAACACATGGGCTTAACTCTTAAGACACAAAAATAAATTAAAATAAAGTCATTTCCAGCCCAAAACAAACAACTTGATATTGGGCAGATTGCATGCATCATAAAATCAACCCAAAACAACTTAAATAAACACTATGAACCCATATCCCTTACATATTAATTAGACCAAAACAAGCAACAAGGGATAAAAACACATCCAAGCCCACTAGGAAGCACCAATGGATCCATATCATTCCCCCTTTCCTCAAAAAGATTCGTCCTCGAATCTTAGTTAAAAATTGAGGTATCCTTTTACTTGCTAGGATCAGTCCACTTCTCCTTAGAATCCATGCCCTTTTCTTTACTCTTCTTCTCCTTTTTAGACCGTATTGAACTCCATTGTTTGCTACAACCTAAATGTATTTGGTTCATCATACAAAAATCAGGTGTGTAACTTAGGTTGATTCAAACATTTTACAATTTGATGTAGGACAGGTTGCGGGGGCTGGTTAGAACAGGTTATTTTTGTTAATCTTTGGGTTTATTAAAGGTTTAGAATGGGTAAGTATATAAAGGTTAGTATGATAGAGAATTGAAGGTAAAATAATCAAGCTAAACAAGGAGTTATGGACTGTTTAAGGCACTGTGAACTGTGCTCGTGAATAGTAAAAAGTTAGGCTTCACACCTAATTGTTCTTGGTATCACACTAGGATGAATTGCATCACACGCTTAAAAGTAATTAATGGTAGGAATTTTTCTATTAATTGAAAAAATGAATCTAAGTGTCGCAAACATAGATATTTACAGACTTAAAGTAATCCTAAACCTGTAAAGGATTTAAAAGCTAGAGATTTGGATTCCTAACAAGAATTAAAGGAATAATATATTATCCCAACCCTAGCAGGACTCAAATAAGACTTGAAATAAGTATAAAGACTCCTAAAAGATTTAGGAAATATTTTCAGCAATTTCGAAAATTACCAAAATACCCCTACTTACAAAAAAGAGTGAATCCCTGCAATTTTCTCTACACAATTGACAGAAAATAGTTCTAATTAAGTTTCCAATCAACCTTCCCATCATCTCAATTGTTCCAAATAAGAGTGGGGCAATTAGAACCCATTTTGGCATGCCTATTGTAAGCATGTTGCCATTGTGCTCTATCATTTTCCTCTGACTTGGGAAAATTGCATTCCTTTGAGTTAAAAGCATGGAACTTCTGATAAAGATGAGGATCAAGGCATTGAAGTGGTTTGCAAGTTATTTTACATAGGATAAACTTTCACAGTGTCTCACCTTGCCTGCAAGTTTATACAAATGCTTGCACTTCTCACTGAAGATTTCAAACTTTCAAAAAAAAGTTCACAAATGCAATATGTGTAGCATGCCAAGTTGAGATGTGATGAGCAGGATTTGTCGGATTAGAAATGAGGCTAATATATATATGGTAACATAAAGCCTCAATTTTGGGGTACTAATGTCCATAAACCTGTAATGTGAGAATGTAATTGATCTGTTCAGTGCTTCAAGATAATAAGCGCCAAATCCTACCTCAAAACCCAACCAGCACGAAACCCGATAGATCCCGAGGTAGCAGTAACTTACACCTAATCGTTAACTCAAAAGTACAACCAATCTCTTTGATTCTTCCAACAATGGAATCACACCAAATCTACCTTAGAGATACAAAATTGTACTAGAGAAATAAGAGGACAATTAACAACACTTATGAGGTGAGGGTCCGGTTTGAATTTTCATAATATCAGAGTAATCTAATGTTTTAAAATAAAAACCTAATAAAATCGAACCAAACAAAATATTACTTGAATTGGATCAGTACAGTTCGGTTTTATTCTTGTGTTATTTATACATGCTTGGGTTCTGGTTCAGCCATGCGAGGCCTGCTCTGCTAACTTAAAAAACTATCTGTATGTTGAACTTTAGGACCCTCTGACTAGAAAAAGGTGAGGATTAAAAGTAAGCCCAGTTAATTAAGGTCCTTGAATGGAACCTACTCAAACTTGATTCTAAAACATGAGAACTTGCATCTCAATTATGATTGAGCTTTAAAAATTTTCTTTATGAATTAAGCTGAAGTTAAAAAGAGTTGACTGATTCGCTTTAAAACCCCCTATTTTTGTAATTTTGGAGCTTTGGGTTTATTTCTTCTGATACCCTCTATCATATTCTTATACCATCAGACACATTTTTTTGTTAATTTTGTCCTTACCCTATTCCTTTAAAATATTTTGTAGGTAACTACTGCCATCATAAAGATAGTAGAGAAGCCTTGGGAACGTGTAAGCATAGATGGACAATTGCATACGCATGGTAAGTAATCAAAAATTATAAATCGAAGAATAATTGTTGAATTCTTAATGCATATGATATCAATGGATCTGCCATTAAAAACATTAGAATAATGAAGTTACTTTAGACATAAAACACAAGAAAAATAAAAATTCAAGAGAGAAAAGTGAGGTAGATTTATATCATTTAACTTGTGGCCTATGAAGCAGCATCACGGCTACGTATAGCACAAGTCAAATAGGATAATTTTACAACCTTTACACCTAAGTATATGCAAACATAGACAGGATGCATGAGGGAACAGCTCTTGGAAATGTATGTCCATGTTTGTATATGTAGGACTAAAAATTTTTCAATGGGGCTTCCCAAAAGTACAGACAATCAGTTGGCCTATGTTGCTCTGCACTTCCAGTCATGTAAAATACTCCACATGTTCTGCTGCTTTAAAGTTCATCTGATGATTCATGTAGCAGCTTTTGACGAATCATCACCTTGAGTTAAGTCTCCTAAAGTACTTCATTATGGTAAGTTTTTATAGACTTCCTCCTTAAGCCCCTAATTGCATACTAATCTCTCTCAACAATTTGCAACTTGTGGTGAGAAAATGGAATTTTATATTAGTGTGCTTCATCCTTTGGGACATTAGCCAAATGAGCATAACTTTTGACCGTATCACATGGACAATAGTCACCTGATGTTCCAAACTGAACTCATCACTTAATAGGCCTCTCACTGAATAGTTTCTAGCATAAGATAATTATGCATGATAAGAATCCCAATTTGTCTTTACCTTTCTTTAATGATCTTCATGTTAAGAATCCCAATTTGAACAAATAACAAATCCATAAAGGGCTTATAATTGTAGAAATCTAACTAGCTAATTGGTTAGCATTAACCTTTTAGCATCCGTTGGTTCAAATCCACTTAAGCGCACATTAATCTGCTTGTTGTTTCATGGATTCTAACCTCTTATCCAATTTACCTTTATTTTTTCAATTTGTGATATGGTATTAGAGCATGGTTCAGTTAATTTTCAATTCACTGGTGTTGTCACTACGTTTCAATTTGGATTCTCGTTTGGATGTCCCAGTCCCAGCGAGGCCTATTCAAATTCAAGGGCACCCAGTTCAATTTAGGCAGAAGATTTCAAGTTTCAAGTATCAACCGAATGTCTAGTCCTGGTTGCAATTGAGGGGGAATGTGTAGAATCTCATACTGAACAAATAATAAATCTATAAAAGGCTTATAAGGGTCGAAAGCTAGCTAACTGATTGGTTAGGATTAACCTTTTCACATTGGTTGCCCAAGCCCAAGTAAGCCACATTAATCCATTTTTGTTTTACGGTTCTAACCTCTTACCTAGTTTACTAGTACCCTTTCAATTTGTAATAGCACAAAATCCTTTTATAATCACCTCCTATTCAAAAACTTTTTCCCTATTTGAAAATTGTTTTTATTTATCAGGATTCATGTTTATGTTCATATAAATTTTTACATGTCTACGTGTATGATTCCTTCAGTTCAGTTTCAATTGCTTAAAATTATTTTCATGTTTTTATACCTCTACTGTTGAAGGTTTTAAACTTGGATCTGAGAAGCATACAACAGAGGTAATAGTTGAGAAGTCTGGATCTTTACAGCTGACTTCTGGTATTAAAGGACTGTCCGTGCTGAAGACAACCAAGGTAATTTTATCTTTCTTGTTGGATTTTATATACTGGCTTTCATGTTATTGAAACCCGAACAAATATGGAAATGTTTTATCAGATGTCAATCAATCAATCATTATTTTTCCCCTTAAGATGTTTTCATGTTAGCTATCTGATTTATATGCTGACTCTTCAATTCCTAAAATTTGTACTTTCTACAGTCAGGGTTTGAAGGGTTTATTAGGGATAAATATACAGTTCTCCCTGAAACACGAGAGAGGATGTTAGCAACAGAAGTCACTGCATCATGGAGGTACAAATTTCAACAAGAGAAAACTTCAAGGATGCAAGTTAATGCAATGAAATTTTTAGCACACCATTTTGCTTTGTTGGTTGAAATTTATTGGCAGTGAAATGTTTTTAAACCATATTTCGGGAACAATGTGGATGCAGGTACTCTTATAAATCTGTCTCTAGTGTTCCTCAGAATCCACTTTACTTTGCAGAGAAATACCTGGATGTCAAGAAAGTTTTGACCAGCACTTTCTTTGGTCATCCTAAGGAGGGAGTATACAGTGCATCTGTTCAGAGCACACTCTTTCATATTGCGAAGGCAGTGCTTAACAGGTATCTTGCTTCTTAATAAATACACATTTTCTCACTAGCTAACATGAGTTGATTTTTCACGTGGCGATCTTTTCAGATAATTACTTTTTCTTTTCTTTTTTTTTTTTTTTTTTTTTTTTTCTTTTCTTTTTTTTTTTTTTTTTTTTTTTTTTTTTAACTAAATATCTGCAGGTTTCCTGAAATTTCATCAGTCGAACTTAAAATGCCAAATATCCACTTCTTACCTGTTAACATATCAAACAAAAATGATACTATTGTGAAGGTATGACTCTACTTATGCCTGCCAAAAATTAGTCTTAGGATATTGTAAGTAATTGAAGCCAATCATACATGTGGATACACATATCAAAATTTTCTCTGTCCTTTCTGTCTCGATCTTTTTGTTTATTTCTCTTCTGTACATGTGCTTTTGTTTGTTGTTGGGAGAGAGATGGTCATGTAAGAGATCCAAATTACATAATTTTGTTCAAATGGATCACAAGGAACAAATTGCCATTGAATTTGCTTTCATTTTGTATTCTTGAAGAGAAGTGGGAGAGAAGATCAAATACTTGATGCAGTTAGAATTTGGAACCAGTTTCAGTAGTGTCATCCCAAAATTATTTCTGTTGCAATTTTTGGTTGTCTACTGGGTATCTCATTTCCCTTCTACTATTCACTTGGCTCCTCTTAAGAGCCTTCTGGGATTCTTCCAAAAGATCCTCCATAACATTAGTTTTGTGTACTTTTCAAGTTTCTTATTCACATTATAACATAAGATTCTTCCTGCATAAAATACACCTATTGAGAAAATCGGAAGATGTTGACTTAGAGCCTGTTCGGCAGCAACATTTCAGGGAGCTTTAGTGTTTTGACTGGAGTCAAAACACTATATCTATCAATTAGATCGTTCGGTAACTCAATATTGTAACTTAATATTTGTAAGAGCTGTTAGAGGTTAGGGAGCGTTTAACGTTTAGCGTTGAAATTTTGTTTTTTAACCCTCTTATCCATTTGTTTTTTTTTCCTATTTTTAATGCTTACAATTCTACTTGCTATAACACTCCTGTTATTTATTTAATATTTCTTCCTCATATCTCAAAGAAATATATGTCATTTTAATCATTTAATTATTTTATGTCTTTTGTCAAAATTAGAGAGAAATTTTTTTTCTCCTCTTTTCATTTTAATTTTATAAGAAATAATATTTTGTTATAGAAAAAATTGAAATAAGAAACAAAAAAAAAATGATAATAATTTAGAAAAGAAACAGAACACTTGTTATATCTTGTATATATTATATATATAGTATAATATATATATATATATATATATAATATATATATCCACTTATTTTTTTATTAATTAGGTCCATTTAATTATATCCACTTATTTTTTATTAATTAGTCCATTTAAGTTCTATGGCCATAATTTAAAATTTTAGGTCAACATTCTAATGTTTTTTTTTTTCATTTTAATTTTAACAGCTAATCAAATATTTATTTTTACCAAACACTTTTGCTTTGAACTAATATATAAAACAGCAATCAATTAATATCTAACCGTTAAAAGCTACTACAACAGCTAATAGCTATTACAACAGTTAGTATTGCCGAACAGACCCTTAGGCTTTTGATATGAATGTATATTGAGAATTTTGCTTCCGGCCCACAAAAGAGAGAAAAAAAAAAAGATGAATCTGTTTGCTTATCATAACCTTAAGGAGAGAAGAGGTCTATTTTCTCTCTATTTGGTTCTGAATGAATATGAGAGTGAATCTGAGGAAGGGATGATGAAAATTAATGAAGCAAAGCTTCTTGTGGCTAAATCTCTGTGGTTCTGAAAGTTAGAAGTGGTCAATGCACATTTTGTGCTACTGTTGGTCAAATTAAAATGCAAAAGAGGTGAAAACATTTTTTTTTTTTTTTTTATGCTTTAGTGTAATTTTTGGAGGGCCAAGTAAAATTCCCTTTGAGTTTATCTTTGTCGATATTATGTTGGTTTTATGTGTAAATTTTTAAATCTGAAAAATTTGGCTAACTAGTGATGTTGACTGATCAATTTTGCAGTTCAATGATGATGTATATTTACCAACAGATGAACCTCATGGATCAATAGAAGCTACTTTGAGCCGCTTCTGGTCAAAGATGTAGAAGCTATTGCACATGGCAAATGGATAGATGCCACCTTGCTCCTGCCACATTCAATCAATTTACCTTCCAGCTTTCTTTTAAAAATAATCAGACTGTACCACCTTTGCTAAAATTGTGACAATTTATTGATCTGGATATGAACTTTGGTACTTTGTCCTCAAGAAGTTTCCTTTCAGACAATGCTCGGATGGAGGTAAAATATGGGATGAAGGAAAAACAGAGGGAAGTTTGTTTTCTTATTTGGGAAGAGGAAGCGTTTATTTTCCTCTCAAAATGTTCTCTCCAGGTCGGAGGAAGAATAGAAGAAAGTATAATGAACTGTTGGAGAGAATCTTGTTTTCTTATATTCGAAGACAAGAAAGGTAATAAGGAAAATATTCTTTTTAAAAAAAAAAAAAAAAATTCTTTCCCTGGGGTACAAAGAGCTTCCCTAGGTGCTTGCCTTTAGGTGAAGAAGACGTCCAAGAGACGAGTGAAAATGGTTCTTTTGAGCAGGGGAACCGATTTAGATTTATTTTAATTATAAAATTAGTTTTTTTATTTATTTAAATCTGTTTCATCTTCAGAAAGGCACTTGTTTTGAAAATGAGGTTTTAAGAAAAAGATTTTCATTTTGGTAAGAGGTTTTTTGTTTGAGTCGCCGTCTTTTTAAAAAAAAAAAAAAAATCTTAAATGGATGTCATTTGAAATGATGGAAATGACCAAGTAAGGTAGGTATGATTTCAAAAAGGTGATAGGCATTCGGATTGTCTGGTTATAAACTGACTTTCGTTGCTTGGTCAATTGCTCACAACATAATATTGGTATTAGGCTTAAATTGAGATGCTAAAATGATCTTAATACTTTTTGTAAAATAGGGTAATCATTATCGATCATAAAACAAAATATTAAATAAAACATGCAAGGAATGAGAGAGGAGAAAAGAGTTATAAACCATTCTTTCAAAATATATTCTATCCTCTTAATTTTCATAAAATTTTCCAAATTCCTTAATTATTACAATAAAGCAATTAATTAGACCTCGTTATAGAACTCTTTACATAATGCCAAATCAATATATATATATATATATAGTAAGCGTTTTTTCCTTAGAAATTGACACGTGGTATATCCACTTGGCATTTTAATTTAACATGTAACATATTCTTCTAATTAGACGTTCATTTGACATGGTTTGATTTGATTATTTAATGCATTATTGTATTTATTTGGTTTGATTCGATTTAAATTTATTTAGAATTAGTGTTTCTAGTTTAATTTGATTTGATTATTCAATGAATTAATGTATTGGTTTAGTTTGGATTTATTTTGAGTTAGTGTTTTTGATTTGATTTGATTATTTAATGTACTGTTTTGGTTTGGATTTATTTTGAATTAATGTTTTTGGTTTGGTGTGATTTAGTTATTTAATGTATTAATGACTTTACGTAATTATTATTAATTATTAGTTTTTAGAAAATGATAAAGTTTAATGACAAATGTTTTCGTGTATCAATGGCTTCAAATTTGTGAAGTTACAAAAACATTTCAACATTTTATTAGTGTATTAATGTTTTTAACGTTTGATTTGGTTATTTGTGTAGTTTCATTCTTGTTTCTATTTAATTTTCTTTTTTAAATGGTGTAGTAATGCACTTTTTCTTGTTTCTATTTAATTTTCTTTTTTTAAATGGTGTAGTAATTGCACTTTTTTTTTTTTAAATTTTTAATTGTTTCACTCTCAAGAACACTTTAACTTTCTTTTAAAATATATATATTATATATATATATATAATATATATAATATATATATAGGCATAGTAGTTTGCATTATATGGAAGTCAAGTGTAACCCTCTAAAATTGCCAAGTATGAGGAGGACAATAATTATTTAGCACGATTGTAAGAAGATAAGGTGTAATGATAACAATTCTAAGAAAATAAGTTGCTTTATATTTTTAGATAATGTTTTTATCATGATAATATCTATTAATTACATCCCATCAAGATAATGCATTAAATTAATAAAATACAAATAACCCAATCATTTATAATAATAATAAACAATCATTTACAATAAATAAAAAATAAAAAACTTAATGTTTTATTTTAATATAATTAATTTAAATTAAAATTAATTTAAATTAAAATTAAATTAAAATACATAAAACCCAAACTGTAAAATAAAAAAATATTTAATTTCTTATTTTAATGATTACCTTAATGTATGGAGTAGTTTTATTGTCACAACCCGTTTCCACGGGCCTAACCGGCTGACGCGGAACCCTATGGAAATATATTCCATAAACTCTATGACAAGTTTTGGAAGAGATCCAAGATCAAACTAAACCCCCCCTCTATGGCACCCAAAGCTTAAAGAAGCAAGAACAACAATAATAGAGTAAAAAAATAAAATAAACGCCACAAAGAATTGATAAGTTTACCTTGATTCTTGATGCAATTAGAAGAATGCAATCTCACACCCTTTAAAAACATGGACACGCCAAAGGCAATGGAAGAAGAAAATCTCTCTTTAATTGATTTAATAATTGTTGAATAATTACAAAATAACAAGTTATTTATACTAATCTAAGAGGTCCAGATCCTTGGTCCAGATCCTTAAAGGATTTAGGAGTTAGCTAAGGAGTAGGATTTACAAATCTAACCAACTAAGGATAGACTAATAAAAATCATAACAACTAAGGATTTTGGATATCTAATCCAAATCTATATATATATCTATATCTTTAAACAAAATAAGGCTAATTCAATCCCAAGGGGGGCCGAAATATTGGAGGCCCAACCCAGTTAACAAAGCCAAAAAAATCAAAATAAGCTAACTTAAACTTAATGAGAGCCAGGGAACAAGCACAGCTTGGGTGGTGCTATTGGCACGGCGTGCTTCAATGTAGGATCCCTCTCATGGAAGAGTTCAGAGGGATAGCACGGCCAGGGTTGTGCTGATTTGCACGGGGGTGCTTCAGAGTCAGAGGGAAGCACGGCCTGTGTGTGCTATTTGCACGGGGATGCTTCAAGTAGTTTTGTTTTTCCTCAGCAAGTCAGACGAGAGCACGGGCCTGGGGTGTCCATCTAGCACGGGATGCATCCCGCACGTGCTAACCATTCATGTTCCCACTCAACCATGTGCTTCTATTAATGTGAAGGAAACTTAGGTTTCCTTCAAAGTTCGTTCATTAAGCATTGTTGAAAGCGAAGGTCAGTGAGCTCTTTTGTAACTTGGTTCTTTGAAATACTGTAAGGACATGGTTGCTCATACTTTTTGCACGGCTCCTTGTAATTGGTCGCACTAGAAGTGCTAATGGATTGCCATTGTTGTGGTCCTTGTTCCCTTGAGGCTCCATAGGTGGTGGGTGGTAGTGGATCCGTCCGTATCATCCCCCCTTCTTTAAAAAGATTTGTCCTCAAATCTGCATCCATGTCAAAGGGAGACAAATCACTAACATTAAAAGTTGCAGAAACACCGTACTCACCTGGCAAGTCTATTTTGTAGGCATTATCAATGATGTGCTCTAAGACTTGGAATGGACCATCTCCACGTGCATCTCATCTAGCTTACTTTTCCTTTGGTTGGGAAATCTTTCCTTGCAAAAGTGTACCCAAACCCAATCACCTGGCATAAGCACAAGTTTCTTCCTGCCCTTGTTTGCTTTGTTAGCATATTGCTTGTTCCTTTTTTTTATGTTGGCTCTAGCCTTCTCATGTAAAGACTTCACCAATTCTGCCTTTCTATCACCATCTAAATTAGAAAGTTCATTCAAAGGTAAAGGAACAAGATCTAATACAGCTAGTGGATTAAAGCCATAAACAAGTTCAAATGGACTAAAACCTGAGGTAGAATGTATGCTACGATTATATGCAAACTCAATGAATGGCAAACAATCTTACAATCTTCCAAGTTTTTCAGTTCTTACCCACATGGTACGAAGCATGCTGTTCCTAAAGTTCTATTCCACAACTTCAGTTTGTCCATCTGGGTTTGTGCGATGACAAGTTGTAGAATAAAGGCAATTTGAGTTCCAAGCTTTCCCATAAAACCTCCCAAAGTGTGAAAAGGACTTGCATTCCCTATTAGAAACTATAGTTCTTGGTACCCGGCAATCTTAACCATTCTTTTAAAGTAAATTCAGCAATATATTGGCATCATCAGTGATACGGATCGAGATCAAAGAATGAGATTGTAAGTTTCACCTTCTATGGCACCTCGTTTATACAGGAACGGAAACACACAATAATCGAGATTTAAAACGCTCTATGGCACCCACGTTTATAATGAACGGTAACACCAATTAATTGAGCAAAAGAACAAGATAAACGCCACAAACGAATTGATAAGTTTACCTTATTCTTGATGCAATTAGAGGATAGCAAATTCTCACAATCACTTTAATTAAGGAAACATGCAAGATCATGAACAATTCTGCCTTTGATTCAAATTTATTGCCAAAATCTCGTTTACATCTTAAGAGGCTATTTATATGCCTTAAAACAAACATAACCCTAAAGAGACATCAACTAGGCTAGCCCTAAGGCCCAAAACACCATGGGCTTAGAACTCTAAAACACAAAAATTAAAGAATTTCCAGCCCCAAAAACAAACAACTTGATTTGGGGCAGATTGCATTGCATCATAAAAACCAACCCTAAAACAACTAATAAACACTATGAGCCCATATCCCTTACATATTATTAGACCACACACAAGGCAACAAGGGATAAGAAACACATCCAAAGCCCATAGGAAGCACCAATGGATCCATATTCAATCAGTTTTATTGACAAGGAATGGAAATGAGCCCATCTTGCCTAAATCTATCAACAACAACAAATATGCTATCTTTTACCCGTTTAGTCCTAAGCAACCAAGTACAAAGGTCCATAGATACATCAATCCAAGGAGAACTAGGAACAGGGTAAAGGCATGTATAATTCCAGAGGGCATAGACTTAGATTTGGCCTGGTTTACAAGTTAATACAAAGTTACAAACCCTCTTCTACATCTTTAATCATGTGAGGCCAATAAAAAGTGTTCATTTAACATATCATAAGTCTTATGTACCCCAAAGTTCCCATCAATCCCCCACTATGGAGATAAGCAAAGCAATTCACGCATAGGAACATTTTGGCACACAAAGTTTGCTACCCTAAACAATATCCATCATTATCTATAGAACTTATCAAATGCTTCCTATGTCACATCGCTTACATATATTGTTGCCAAAGTCAGAATCATTTCACATATAAGTCCCTTTAACCATACCTCAAATCCAAGTAATTTAGAAACTAAGAGCAGTAATTAAAGTATATCTTTCTGGACAATGCATCAGCAAACAACATTATCTTTTTTCATGCTTGTATTTAATTCACATATGGAAATTGATTCAATAAATTCAACCACCTTACCAT